ACAGACGCATAGGGTTGTCTGAGGATAAAATGAGATAAACAACGCAACATGTCTAGCACAATGTGTCAGCTACTATAATGATGATGTATAAAGAGTATCAAAACATTCACAGTTAAACCTTCTCACAGGATAGATTTCAATTCTTTAAATGATTAGTAAGGAAGACACTAAAAATGTTGTGTATGTTTAAAAACTATACACTCATTGCTTAGATAACATTATGGTATTGATTTAGAAAATCTATGAAACATTCACTGTACAGCTACTATGTGTGAGTTGTGGAAAATACAGAAATAGGAGACATGATCTCTGCCTTCAAGGAGTTTACAAGACAAACACAGACAACTAATTATAATTATCAAAGGATAAAACGTGACATCATAAAGAGGATATAAAGCATTATGAAGTAGCCCCTAGGGACTCTGGGAAGGCTCCTTAAAAACATTTAGGAACCTTCTCTTTGGAAGTTGCCCTGGGCTTGTCTCGCCACATCAACAATCAGGGATTAACACTCTCCAAGTCTCTCTCAATTAGGCCACATGCCTCAATGTGACACCTAGAATGTTCTTAAAAGTTTATTTCACATTTATGTCAAGGCCATTTGATAAGCTGGCAACATCTGACTGATTACGAAATAAGGACTCAAAAAACTTTTCAATTGGCTTTGACCTTCTTTTTCGGTAAAGGGTTTCTGCTTCTGATTAATGGTTTTAAGAACAGTGAGATCAGTCCAGTTAAATTATATTTATTACTCCTCACCAGTCAATGAAAGGAGAAAATTAGCTCAGATTTCTGGTAGACTAGTTGTAGACATAACTGGGAGGAGACAGCTCGAATCACACGTTGGAATTGTCTAACTGATGAAGAGTTTATTGAAATGGATCCCAGGGGCAAACCAAGCTGTATTCTCCAACTGAATGTGCTTCACATGGTTAACAGACTCTGGTTCACATTCTCAAGAGAAGTTTGCATCAATCCAAGGAGAAAATGAGTAGTTCAAGCATAAGATTAAACCAAAAACCAAACCAAACCTGTTGCCATCGAGTCAACTCCAACTCAGAGCAACCCTACAGGATAGAGTAGAACTGTCCCATAGGGTTTCCAAGGAGCAGCTGGTGGATTCAAACTGCCAATCTTTTTGGTTGGCAACTGTAGTTCACCGTAACTCTTATGTGTTACCAGGGCTTCCAAATAAGATTAACCGCCCCCCCCCAAAAAAATCAAACTCGTTGTCGTCGAGTCAATTCTGACTCATAGTGACCCTATAGGCCAGAGTAGAACTGACCCACAGGGTTTCCACGGAGCAGCTGGTGGATTCGAACTGCTGACCTTCTGGTTAGCAGCCAAGCTCTTTAACCACTGTGCCGCCAAGTAAGATTAGGAGCCATCAAAAAGTAGAAATGTATACAATTACTGTATTTGTTAATCTAGTTGATGGGTCAATGGTAAGGTTATCTTAGAGACCACTCTTGGAATAATTCTGTAAAAGACTCACTGATGCCCCGTCCATTAATAACATGCCACCGGTATCTAGTTTATAGGGTCATCGCTTATTTGGTTAAAATAGAGGGAAGATATGTGCTTACATTCACTTTTAAACCACAGGCAACCTGGATTTCGTAGTAAGCTAGATGATTCTGCAAGTTATCATAATATTATCTTATAAGCATTATTTTTCATAACATTATGCACTATTGGATTCAACACTTTTACATCTTGTAATACAAAGTGTGTGCCTAATTCCTAACAGAAACGGTTAGACATCGTAGTTTTCACTGTCTTCACGATACAAGAGAAGACCCTTTTACAATTTTCTGCATTAAGCCTTGAAAATGCTTTATCATTAGAGACGTAAATGTCTTTCAAATATTAGTTCCTGGATGAAATCTAATTGGACAAAACTCAATTTAGATACTTTAGAAATGGCAGTAATAAAAACAAGACTATGGAAATGGGCAGAAGACACCAGGAAGCTGAATAACACTAAAGTAATTTTATGACTATTAGTATCTTGCACACAAAGGAAGGTAAGTAGATACTCTTTAATGGCAACAGCTCCTGTTTGTTCAGCTCTTTCCCATTTTCAAAGGGCTTTTATATACATCATCTGATCTGCCCCCCCCAACCCCACCCAGCACCTATGCACGTGAGCGAGAACACATTGTTATTCGCACTTTCAAATGAAGAACCAGGGACCAAAAGAAAGTAGGTGAAAGGTCAAATAACTGAAGGCTAAAGCCATGCCTTCTGACTCCTGGAGTCCAGTGTTCATTCAACCACACGCTATTAAACATGGTGTTATTAAGTACTAACTGATAATAGTGTGATTATTCCACTTCATGATGCTTCTAAGCTCACTGGTGATACTCATCTTTCAGTTAAAGTTCCTAAGTAACCACTCTCCAGTCGGATCTTCAAAAAGGAAGAGAATATAGTTTGCTGATATAACAAGGTAATCACAGTGATTTGATCTGCAGCACACTGTATTCATCTACCTTCTACCACATGTTCCACCTCATGCCAAAAAACAACAATTTACTTGCTGAGCAGACCAGCTTCATCTGCCAAGAACAAATCATCCCTGTCTCCTGCACTAATCGCCGAATTGTCTCAATGAAATTGGTGGATCTATAAGAAACGGGTGAATAATTTTCAGCGCTTTTTCTTACACCTGACACAGTGATCGCGGGCAAATTCAAAAAAAAGTACTTAGCATAGTACTACCTATGGTAATGGCAAGGAAAACTATCATTGGGTGGGAAAAGAGCAGGTGCTAGGTAAACCACCTCAAAGAATTTTATTCTCATTCATTTATCCAAAACTAACATTTGCTAACTCTCTACCAGGTACGGTGCTCTCAAGGGAGATAAATAAAATAATCACTGCTATTGATTGAGTGGTACTCTGCTGGACACTACTTGAGGTACTTATGAGTATTAACTCATTTAACGAATTAAGAAGGTAGCACCACTGGCTCCTCATTTTATAGCTGAGGAAATAGAGAAGTTACATAAGATGCCCCAAGTTACGTAGCAAGTAAATGCTGCTGCAGGGATCTGACCTGTAGTCTACGCTGGGGGTCTTCAAATAGCTCACGTGCTCAATCTGGCCCACCGCCTGTTCTTGTACAGCCCTCTCAGTAAGAATGGCTTTTACATTTTTAAATTTCATGTTGACACATGAAAATTATATGAAATTCAATTCCGTTGTCTATAAACTGGAACACAGCCACACTTGTTCATTTACATATTATCTATGGCTGCTTTCACATTAAACAGCAGACTTCAGTAGTTGCAACAGAGACCCTGTGTGGCCTGCAAAGCCTAAAACGTTATCTGGCCCTTTATAGAAAATGTTTGCTGACCTCTGCTCTTAACCTTTATGCTACACTCCTACTTAGCATCTCTACTTGGGTGTCTTAAGAAGCACTGCAAACTTAACAAATCCAAAATCAAACTCCTAATTTCCTCCACCACCCACATTGTGATCCATAACTTAATAATCTTCCCCTATGAAAAACCCAACCTTCTAATTGTAAATGCCATAGACCTAGAGTATCTTTGCGTCCTTCCTTTCTCTCACCCTTCATGTTCAAAGCCGTCAGCAAATCTGGTCGGCTCAACTTCTGAAATAGGCAACAACATTTCATTATCTCCACTGCTCCCACCCTGGCCCAAGCTATCACCATCTCTCTTCTGCATTACTGCTATAATCTCTTATTAGTCTCCCTTGCTTCAGCTCTTGCCCAAGACAGCATCCAGAATGCTCTTCCGCTCACAAGCCCTCTGGCTTTGCCAAACAGCTAAGCATACTCCTGCTTCAGGGCTCTGGCCCTGGTTTGCCCCAGTGACTGCAAGCCTCTTCTCAAACGTCACCTTATTAACAGGACTTCCCTTTGCACACAACCTAGACATCTTAGCCCTGGGACTCTGTTTCCCGGCTTTACTGTTCGCCATATTATCACAATCTGCCACACAATATATATGCTGGTTCTTTAATGAATTTAATCAATTCATCTAGCAGGTGTTTAGTACATTTTCTTCACTTATATATCTCTGGCACTAGACCAGGCTTGGTGTATCTTAGGTGGTTAAGTAGGTGTCTGCTGAATGAAAGAAAGAATTGTCCCTATATTCAAAAAACCCTCAATTCAATGACACAGAGAGACAGGTCAACATATATTTAACATATGAATGACTGCAGTGAATGGTTTAATAGTATATTTCTTATGTTTTCCTACTTTCTTATCAAATATCCTATTCTAAACAAATTTGGTGTTTTTTTGGTCTCAATCAAAAGGCAGAGAGAGCTAGCTTTATAAGCTCACAGTCTATGTATGAAACTATTCTAAACAACAAATCTACTTCATCAAATGGAGGTCCTGAGCAGGTGCTCGGTGTCCTGTTCTTAAACTCACTGTCGTCTCTTGTTTCAATTCTAATTCCCTTCTTTGCATCTCTGTCAAATTCTAGGACATGTGGTCCATGTTAGCTAGAGGTACTGCCCCCAACTCTTGACCATTTACTCTCCTTTTAAGTCCTGCTGCTCAGCTCCTGTCTACTGCTCTTGAAAGAGACAATCATTTCTTGGCCACAAACGCAGTGAAATGGAGCTTCTACCAAGACAATACATCCTTTAAAGCCCCACCATTTCTAAGCATGAACTCAAGGTGAGTCAGTGTCTGGAGAGTTAAGGGCAACACTCTACTACTGCATGACCTGGAGGCAATGCAGTTTCTAAACATATAAGGAAAAATAGTTTGTTGAGTTCCCAAGTGGTGAAATGCATCAACGAACCAGTAGCACAACCATATCAACACCTGTTGGAGAACAAATGACATTCCCTGAAAGCAAGATCTGCCTGCTTGGCTTCTCTACTTCCTGGCCATATTTTAACTAAGAAAAGCAGTTATTATACTAATTTATTGATTTTTAAATAAATATACAGGAAAGTTGCAGATGTGGTAACAGAAAAGAATTGATGACAAGAAATAACCGTACCCTCTCCTCCAGCCTAGCCAGCTGCTGTTTGTAGAACTCATCCTGTTTCTTTATCACTCGATCTTTCTCTTCCAGCTGCTTAATCTAAAAAAAGGAATGAGCAAAATATGGTATTAAGAAAAAGCAGCAATAGCAAAGGAAAAGTCAAGTATATGTTGCATTAGAAACAAGTACACAAAGCTGACGATTTTTGCAGTCTATTAGGTCTCTGCCATAGAAATGCATTAACAAGATGATGATTGCTGTATTTAAACTGTAAAGAATGCGTCTCCCTTGTATTTTTTTTTTTTTAAACTGTAACAGCTGTGTCCTACTTTGTCCAAATATATTTGGGGATTTCAGAATATAGCACACCACAAACTGTTTTATTTAACTTCCCTTTCGAAGAGTAATTTCAAGGTTTAATATTTTGCACAATAAAACTTTGATTCTATACCTTTGTTTATGCCTAAGACACGTGATTATTAAACTTCTTTCTTGAACAAGAATATGCTTCTATAACATTTTGTACATAAACCTTATTACTTGGGAACCCTGAAATTACCCAGTGGAACCTATATATAAAGACAATTATTGTTCTATTTCCTTTTTTATGAAGAAGTTGTCTGGGGTGGGGGGGGTTGGGCAAAACTACCATAATTTTTCATGTGAAGAATTAAAAAACCATTAGTTATCCTGCTTCTCATGTATAAGACTTTTTTCTTTTTTAACAAAATTAAAAACAAGTAAGTTATTCTGATCCTTGAAAAAAATAATGGAGATACTTATTTACGAATGTTTCTCAAGATTAGTAAAAAAAACAATGCTTTCCTCAAACTATTGCTTGTCGCTGCTTGAGTACTGTGTTAACGTGAGGCTGTTATTTCAGAGGGTGGGGACCTCCCCATATCACCCCAAGTTAGAAAAGTTCTTAATGTAGGAAGATTTGTTTAGGGAGTGCTGAATTCATGTCTGACTAGGAATTTTAAGAACACACCAAGTATGGAATTATTCTCCCCCTTGTGCCATGTACCACGTTTTCCCCACACGAGTAAGGGCCGCCTGGCTCAGCCCATGGCAGGGGGTCTGCCTGCTCAACCTCCCGCTACTGGTTAGGAGAACCATTTGCACGCTGGCAGGTCCTTGTTTTGCTACTTACTTTGGCGTCAATCTCCTGCAGCATGTTGAAAACAAACAAACAGTTATTTAACAGTACAAGTACTGATTCTTCCTAACGTCCCAGAGAAATCTGGTAGATGGTATCTATCTAAATGCAAACCAAAGAAGGCAATAGGGAAAAAAAAACTAGAGGACTTGCTTAACTTGGGACAAACTAAAATGCCACTTTGCTATTACAGTTGGATAGAAGATTTCAACAGACATTTCATGCTGTTTGAAATCATATGAATACATAAGAACAAATACAACATCAAGATGAGATAAAAAATACATTCGTATGTAAGTAACTATCCATGGCTCCTTGGTGCAGCACAATAAAGGCCCCGCTCATTTGTCAGGAATATAAAAGAAAAAATGAAACGAGCAAAAATTTTCTGACAGACAAAACTGAAGAAAATATACATGCCTATGATGTAAAGAGAAAAGGCTTTTCAAATTCAGCATACACACACAAACACACACAGAGGAAAATATGGGAAGAGGAGACTAATGAGAACCTACATAAAACACACATCATAAAAACCAAGAGAAAAAGCAAATGACAAAGGAAAAGAAATTCCAGCGTATAACTATTAATGTTATTAACACAGACTCTTAAAAAATAAGCCACTACCCCCACAAAAGCCCAAAAGAAAAACAGAAAAATGACATAGACTAGCAATTCACTAAAGAAATACAAATATCAATCAAACACATGGAAAAAATCCAACTGCATAAGAAATTTATAAAATGCACATTAAAATAATGAGATTCTATTACTCATCTATCAAATTGACAAAAATATAAAATCCTAATACAGTATTGGCAAGGATACAAGAAAACAGCCTCTCCTATACACTGCTGGTTGGAACGTAAATTGGTATAGCCATTTTTTAAACCATTTTCACAAAATGTTAAGTCTTAAAAATGTACATATGCACTGAGATTTAGAAACTTTTCTTAAATAATTATGGCAATATGCAAAGATGTTCATTATAGGGTTGTTTAGAATTACAAAGAAACAAAAACAAAAAACAGTCCCATGGTTAAATATTGGTATGCAATAAAATCTATGTAGCTATTAAAATAATTTTATAGAATATTCAATATCATAGGGACAAAATATCCTAATTTAAAAAAAAATTGACTATGAACAGTAAGGAGAGTATGGGCTCTCTCTTTTTTAATTTTTTTGCTAGGGAAGAAAAAAAAAAAAAAAAACCCAGAAGGATATTCACTAAAATATCAACAGAGGTTACAAGCAGGGTGGTTGGCTAATGGGTGGTTTCTAGGCCTTTACGTACCTGTTGAAACTCATAGGATGGTATATTGCAAAGAATGAATTTAACTGTACATAAGCTTCAAAATGTGAATACAAAGTAAACATTCTAAAATTTAGAAAATAATTGTATATTAATACATGGATGTGCATATGTGTACGTGTGTATGTATTTGTTAATTTTCATTGTAACTTGGTTAATATTGCTTCCAGAAATTTAATCCTAAGAAATGTATACAACAATTTATATCTAAGAAAATGCAGTGTTATTTAAAGCAACAAAAAACTGGGAACAACAGCAGTTTGGGTAAATAAGGTGTGGCCCAACAACAGGAGTTTGATTATAAAGATTTTGGTCCAGTCATATGATCAAACATTAAACAGGATCAAGAAATAATGTTTTGGGGATCAAAGTGGCAATAACAATCGAAAGATTAGATGGGAACCTTAGGAGGCAGTGAGTTTACGTTAATGGGAAAGAACAACTCGGAACCGAGGCTGAGAATGGCTGTACAACCAAAAAATGTAATCAGTGTCACTGAATTGTACATGGACAAACAGTTGAGCTGTTTCTACATGTGCAATAGTGGATGTTTTGCTGTGTATATTCTCACAACAACAGAAAAAAAGGTTAAACATACACAAAATAAAGAATATCACCCGTGAATACTGTGCTCCTTTAAAAAATCATCTATATGAGACCAAATGGTCAACAATTCATTTAAAACAAAGATGATGAGAATATAAGTGAGGCAGGGAAACTCGATTAATAGAAATGGAACAACCAGAATGGAGATATTGAGAATGTTCACACATTTGAAGAAGATAACCAATGTCACTGAACAATCTGCGTAGAAATTGTTGAATGGGAACCTAAACCACTGGGTAAACCTTTACCAAAAATACAATAAAATATTAAAGGAAGAAGTAATGTTTTAATAGAATCATTAATGACATGAAAAACCCAAAATATTAAACGGGGAAAAAGTAGGTCATAAAATAGCATTGTATAGGAAGTTCCTAATTTTGGTTCAGAAATTGGGGGAAGGGGAGTCAGAGGGCAGGGGCAGGGAAAGTTGAGTGCTTCGTTGGGTAGGAATGGGAAAAAAAATGTAAAGTACAGGCAGGCCCAGTTTATGAACGCCTGACTTTGTACAACCTGCAGTTATGAACCAACCCTGTAAAGCCTGTCAGGAAAAAATTGACTCAGAGAAAGCTGGAAAAGGATGAGGGACTGACTGTTCAAGATGCTCTAGCGTTCCTCCTCTCTACGGTCCCCGCCCACTGACAAATCCAGAGCTGCAAGGCTCCTAACTACTGGATGTGCAGCCATGTAGTCGGCCACTCGGTGGCGTGCTGACTGGCCAGGCCCACTGTGCGGGGCGAAGGAGCAGTACTTGAGGATGCAGACCAAGGGGCTGGCCCTTTCCGAGCTCTTAGGGAGGGGGGTACTCGTGGGCTCTCGGCTGGCTGCTGTGGACCATGGCAGGGTGCACCATGTCACAGAGGCCTACCCACCTCCAGCATTCACCCAAGGACACACTGTGACATCTGTGCATGCATGAGAAGCTCAGCCTGTCACGGGAGCCCAGGAGCCTGAACACTGTGTACCTCCAAGTGGTGGCTGCCAACAGCTGGGACGTGGGCACCGCGCTCTACCTGCTCTCTGAGCACAACCTGTCAGTGTGCAGCACTGGGAGCACAGCCTGGCCTGCATGGGGCCCCTTTACCCAGCTCCGTCCCACCCCAACCTGCTGGGTGCCCCATGCTATGCAGCCCAGGACCATCGCAGCACCTCTGCGCTTCTGTCTCCCCTACCTTACCCATGAGGGATTTCCCTATTGCAGTGGTTCTTGGCCTTTTGGTGGCTGGAGGGTGGTGGGGGCAGTCTTAAAAGATTCCTAACCTCTGTATGTCCATATGGCATCCCAGGTCCATGGAGAATTTCGGACTTGGGTTTCCCTACGTAGCCTCTTCCCAATCCTTGGGCCCCAGGTTCCTTCTTAGTACCTCCTGGGCAACACTTATTCCCTTGCATCTGAGGCAGGGGCTCAGAATTAGTGCATGGGGTTGACAGGTCTTGTGAGATCATGGGGGTATGATCCACTTGGCCCCAGCACCACCCTACCCATGCCCCCAACCCTCCTTGCCTCTGTGGAGGAGGGTTCAAAACCCAGCAGAAATGCAGCCCATCGGTACAACGCGGATTTTTTAGTTTCGAGTCTGTAATAAAGTATCTAAACGGTCTCAAAGATTTTACAGAGTGGAATCTTCTAAGTATTTTGGGTAATGTTTGCCCTGTAGGTATCTCTTCAACTGTGGAGAAGGTACATACAATAATTCATAATAACAAATGGGCCCTACTTTGCAATGCTCATCAAACCACTATTATTATTATTATTATTACTGTATTATGTTAAAGATGTTTTAGTGTATCTGTATTTCTTTAATTTTTTTCATGCATAGAAAAGTATACTATATACTAAGAAAAACATTTGACTAACTGACGTTAGACACGAACATACCTAACTGTTCCAACTTTGATACAAATTCAACTTAAAGACACACTTAGGAACTGAACTTGTTTGTAGTCTGTGGACTGCCTGTACGTCAAGAGGCCTTCAGTAGTTAAGGTATGCAACAAACCCTTTGCCCTCAAGCTGAATTT